ATTAATTATATAATTATATATAATTTTGTTTTACAGAAGTACTATGGCTTTGTATGATACCATAGAATATCAATACATGCAAATTAGTAAAATTCCGACGTTGCATTTTCAACCATCCCTGCCACGTTTGCCAATACCCAAGCTTGAAGATACATGCAAAAGGTATCTGAATGCACAGAAACCTCTGTTGAATAATGAAGAATTGCAAAATACGTCATCCTGCATCTCGAAATTTCTTGCCAATGAGGGACAGGGTTTGCAAAAACTATTGCTCCAAAATAATGCTGAGAATCCTCATACCAGTTACATCAGTGAGCCATGGTTTGAGATGTATTTGCAAGATCGCAAACCTCTGCCAATCAATTACAATCCTTTCCTAGTTTTTATACCAGAATCTGATCCTAAGTATGATGTACAATTGGTAAAAGCAACGAATCTTGTAATATCATCATTGAGATTTTTTAAGTCCCTCAAGAATAATGTTCTAGAGCCAGAGATATTTCACATGAAACCTGAGAAATCAGATACTCAATTATTCCGCAATGTCACAAGACTGATTCCATCTCGCTTTAGCTGGTATGGTGCTTATTTATTTAAGGTATGTATAACTTGTAAATTTTATTCACATATTCAAACATAAATTGATAGAAAGACAGTGATGTGTAACAGAAAAAAAACAAATTTATATTTAATAACAAAATTTTTTTATTATAGGCTTTTCCATTAGATATGTCCCAATATAAAAATCTATTCAATACAACTAGAATACCGGAATTAGAAAAAGATATAATTTTTCACGATCCCTTAGCGAAACACTTGGTTATCATGAGGAGAGGTCATTTTTATGCATTTGATGTTATGGATGCAAATGACTCTATTTATAGTCCTAAAAAGATAGCTGCATGCTTAAAGACTATTTTAGAAGATAATAGACCACCAAACAAACATCCCGTAGGTGTTCTTACATCGTTAGAAAGGAATCAATGGGCACGAGCACGTTCACATTTAATCGAAACAGGGAATCAGGAAATTCTCCAGAAAATCGATTCAGCTTTATTTGTAATGATCTTAGATGACGAAGTTATCGGTACCGATCAACACAAATTAATAAGAAAGTATTTACATTCAGACGGTACCAATCGTTGGTTTGACAAGTCATTTTCCGTCATTGTTTCTAAGGATGGCTACGGTGGAATTAACTTTGAGCATTCATGGGGTGATGGTGTCGCGGTACTCAGATATTTCCAAGTGAGTAACGCACTATTTTACTTTTTGGTATATGTAATGTAATTAGCATAAATAATTGAGAATTGCTAATTTTATAAAAATCTTTGTTATCCTATATAGGATGTAAAAGCTGATATATCGAAGAAACCTAGATTTCATCCTAACGAAGTGGATGAACTCTCTAATGAAAGCGTGAACGTAGAGAGATTACAATTTTCTATAGACACGAAGAGCGAAAGTATTATCAATCAGCAAATAACAGATTATCAGGAGTGGGTGAATCGGCTGTATGTTGATTTTATGATTTACGAAGAGTTCGGTAAGGATCAGTGCAAGAAGCTCGGGGTAAGTCCGGATGCCGTGATGCAACTGGCATTCCAGTTGGCATTGTACATTCTAGAAGGCAAATCAGTATCAACTTATGAATCTTGCAGCACAGCTGCATATAAACACGGCAGGACAGAAACTATCAGACCATGTACACTAGAAACTAAAGCAATCTGCGTCGCTATGACTCAAAAACAAATTGAGCTTTCTAAATCAGAATTAAAAAGAATGATACTTGATTGTAGTAAAGCACATAACGTGCTTACAAAAGAGGCCGTAATGGGTAAATAATTTTGAATACAAGCATTTATAAATTTAGAAGATAATAAGTGTATATAAATTTTATATTTTATAGGTCAAGGATTCGACAGGCATCTATTTGTTTTGAAAAAAATTTCAGAAAAATCAGGTCCCGTTAAACCAACCATTTTTCAAGACCCAGCATACGATGCTTTAAATCATAATATATTATCTACATCCACCTTATCAAGTCCGGTTGTAATGGCTGGTGGATTTGGGCCAGTAGTATCTGATGGGTATGGAATTGGGTAAGACATGTTGTATTATGTTATCGTTAATATTAAAAATGTGGTAATTGTTGATATTTTTTTGTATTATATATAATTTTTTAAACAAAATTAATGTATGTTTAGATATATGATCCAAGATAAACGTTTGGGTGCAGTTGTAACAAGTTACAATGGTAGTCGTAATGCCAATCAATATGTACAAGCATTAGCACACGCGTTCAAGAGCATTCATGATGTGTTACATACATAGTACAGGAATGACAGTTACGCAATATTTGTCAGACATATTTAGTTACATTTTGATTTGGATTTTTACCGAGATTATTGATAGCGCTATTATATATACAGGGTGTCCCATAATTCTTAATTAATATTTCAAGGGGTGAAAGAGGATGGAATTTTGAACTAAAAGTTCCTTTCCCAATTTTGACTCAGATCATTATTTACCGAGTTATTAACGATTAAAGTTGATCAATCAGATTGCGCCCAGCCGGAGTACGTAGAAGCATAGCGAGCTGTGAGGCCTATCGTGCTTTCTGTACATTCTCCCGATTAAAATTTTTTTTCTAATTTTTTATATTAATAAATAAATGAGTAAATAAATAAATAAGTAGATAAATAAATAAATGAGAAAAGTTATAGTTGGAAATTTATCCAATTTCTGATTGTTTTTTTAATATTATTTATTTGTTTATTTATTTAATTCAATTATTTAATCCATTTGTTCAATTTAGTTATTTAATTTTCATAGCTAACCTAGCAGCGATGGGGAAAAAATAATTACGGAATATTTGTTATGGATTCAAAGAAAGACTATTGGCAAAAAACATTATCAAAATTAATTGTTTCTAAATAAACTGTTTTGACACGTGTCATGTATGATTCTTACGTATAAATATTATATATAAATTAATATTGTTATAAATTAATAAATTAATTACATAGATTAAATTATTTACGTATTCGTTAATTTCAAATTTTAAAACAATAACGCCATCGAATTGTAAGAAAAAATACGTAAGAATCATACATGCCAACGTTATGAAATAATAAAAATAAATTTTTCAATAAATGCTTTCAAAGCAATTTGTTTAAACAATTTCTTAAAAAAATTTTAATTGGAAACTGATAACTCCATCGATTTCTATAAAAAAAAAAATATGTAAGAACCATACATGATACATGTCAAAACAATTTTTGAAGAAATCGTTTAAATAATTTATTTACAATATTTTTTGCCATTAATCTTTTTTTGTACCCATAACAAATTAGAATAAAATTTTAATTGAAAGAATGTACAGAAAGCGAGCCTCAAAGCACGCTACGCTTCTGCGTACTCCGGCTGAGCGTAATCTGATTGATCAACTTTAATCGTTAATAACTCGATAAATAATGATCTGAGCCAAAATTGGAAAAGGAATTTTTAATTCAAAATTCCATCCTTTCCAATTCCCCTTTACCTTCCTTGCAATATTAATTAAAGAGTTTATAGGAGGGGTACCTGTGTGTGTGTGTGTGTGTGTGTGTGTGTGTGTGTGTGTGTGTATATATATATATATATATATATATTATATTATATTATATTATATTATATTATATTATATTATATATATTATTAAGTACATTTTTAAGAATGTTTATAATCATGTTATTCGTATCAGAGGTAGGCACAATCTCTTTGAAATCTTGAAACAAAGAAAGCAATAACGACGATTACCTCTGATAATCAGAAATTTTTATAAAATTGTTAAATAAATATTTTTAATATTTTTTAAAAAATTAACAATTCAGAGTTTGTTAACTTTTATAATCAACCACTTATTTTCCCATAAATATATATTACATATAACAATTAAAAATGTCAGAATGTGAAGGATATAAATTATGAATATTTTATATTACTCTGTATTATACACTTTATGTTGACAAGAAAATATATATAACTTAATTAATATATATTAACGCGAAAATGAGCGCTATAACGCACTCAAAATGTGAAACAAAAATTACGCTTTTTAACATCGATAAAATCTAGCGCCTATTATAATATTTAATCTTAGCCACTTTTGTTTTAAAAGAAGTAGAAAGATGTGTCTAAGACAATATAACATAGATGATTCACAGTTATAGACACAGAATGGATGTTAAATTAGGTCATCTATCACATGAGTATAATTACAGACATGCAGTAATAATATACCAAATTCGCATTTTGGTATCTGGAAAGTTCTTCTGATTTCACAATAATTTCATAGATATGCAATCATTGCTCTAGAATCTTTTACTGATGACTAAATGTGGAATGGAACATTATGTGATCCCGATTATAGTCCATAACTTATTCTGTTATAATTTATTTATAACTTGTTGCCCATCTTTACTTTGGATGTCTGAAAATAGAAAAATATTAAGATATAAATTCAGAGATAGGAAAAATATAAATATATATTTGTTAAAAAGAATTATCATTTTGAACATTTTCTGTTACACACTAATTTTGTAATATATGTTTTAACTTACCATATAAATACCAACGATTAAACCAAAGAGTCCTATAGCGGAACCAAAAATCTCAACTATGAGAATTTTTACGAAAAGGGCAGAGTTAGCAGCGTCAGCAAGAGCTGCACCAGAGCCGACAATACCAACCGCTATACCACAGAAAAGATTAACGAGGCCAACAGCAAAACCAGCGCCAAACATTATGTACCCAGAGAACCAATTCTGAGCCTTGAGCTCATTGTTGTCATAAACTTTTGTATAATCAAATTTATCAAGCATTCCAGATAGAATAATGGCAGTGATTAAGCCATAGATAGCTACAGCCTCGCAGAATATCACAGAAATCAAATTCTTTGTCTTGATTCTAGGTGCTTTCACACCACCACCAATGATAGACACACCTGTTGTATGGATACCTCTGAAAAATCAATAAGCGATAAACTTCGCAGTTAATCCTATTTGACACTATTGATGATACTGTAAATACATTCGACTTACAATGCTGCACCTACTACGGACAGAGCTACAGATAGACCTATACCCAGTGTACACCACATATACGGAGAGGTATTCGTCAAGAACCTAAATTACAAAATAAACATAAATTCATTCAGGAACTCTTTACATAAAAAATTCAATAAGAAACTGATATAAGATAAATATATGATTACATACCAGCCAACACTAACCTGCTCTCCTTTGCCAGTAAATACATAATACAAAACTACAACATAAAAAAGAAATGTGTATATGTTTTGTGTGTGTGTATGTGTGTGTGTGTGGTGTGTGCGCGCGCGTGTATGTATATGACAACATTTTGGCGTAACTCGAATATTGTTCAACAAGACAGAACACTTGAGACAAGATAATTCGATACAATGATCCGATGTACGTACAAATGAGCAAGATATCTCAAGTATCAACGGTTATAACGATCTATAATTTTTTGTCTGTCCTGTTATTTTATCACAATGTATATGTGAATGCATACCCAAAATAAGAATCGTCGCCGAGGCGGTGATCGCAAATGTTTTACCCAGGATGTACCTCATCGTCGCGACGAGTTAGCTTCGCTATTCACACGATACGTAAGATCTCGCGATTTTCAAGTATGGGAAGAGCGAAGAGCCCGGTGGCTTCGTTTAACGAATCCTTAATCTCCGCATCGAGAGACTCACGAGAAGATCACGCACACCCGTCGCTGTCATGTGACGACTGCTCGAGATTCTAGTAATCGTTAGTGATTTTTTTTTTTCAGAAGGGTAAGAGAAATTACCGCGCAGGTGCAACAACTCTATCTGCTCATTTGCACTCGTAAGCACTTTCCGCGCTCGAAACGGAACGGAAATATATTTCAGACATTAGTGGAAAGAAGAACGATGATAGATAGGTTCCAATAGGTTAGCGCCTACATGCTCATTATTATTTATTCTCGTTTAACATTTGATGAACAAAGATGAAATGATTCAAAAGTAGAGCGAATAGAGATGAAAAAATAAGTATTTTTTAATTTATAAAAATTGAATAAAAATTGAGTAAAAAAAATCAATTTTATGAAAAACTTTTTTACTAAAATACTAAAAAAGAAATATATAGAATTTATGTTTTTTTCGCTTATTTTATTATTTTAGTTTATCGCTAAAATATTTGATATCTATATTATTTCAATATTATTTAATATTTTTGTGTATTTATCATTTCAAATTGGACTTGGTTAGGGATTATGGATGTGTGCGGACAAGTGCGAGATAGTGTGTGGACAAAACGGTGAATATTTTGTGGATATAGAGAAATAGTAAGGCTTAGTAGGCGTAAAGAGAAGATTAGGACGAGTAGAAGCTGAGTGAGTGAAGGTAGAGAGGAATAAAAAAGTATAAGCGAGAAATAAGAGGTTTTAGGACAGGCACAAGGAAGAGAGGTTATGGCGGAAAAAGGGGCGGGTAAAATAGAAAGCGTAAGTAGGATAGGAAATTAAAGGAAGAAAAACAGTTAAAAATAGTATTAGAGGAAAAGGAAAAGGGAGAAAATAAAAGAGTGAGGTTTAGAATAGGATGTGAGAGAGAAGGCAAAGATTAGATCGAGATGTGGAGAAAAGAATTACGCATAGTTAGAGAGAGAGAGAGAGAGAGAGAGAGAGAGAAGAATAACAAAAATAACTAAAGAGAGGAAAAAATAGGTTTCAGGAAATACCTAGAGGAGATAAGGACAAAGGAGTATGTATGGACAAAACAAATTAGGAATATAGAGGATAGATTAGAGGCGTTAGAAAATGAGATCGAAAGAACAATGGAAGAATAAGAAGAATCTGAGGTAAGTAAAAGAGAGATTAGCGAACGAAGTGAGGTAAGACGGAAAGAAAGGCAGAGAATAATAAGTAGAATAGGAAGGAAATGAACTGTAGGTAATCGAAAAAAAGGAGAGGATATTAAGATATTGTAAACTGTAAGATTGTAAGATTGTAAGAGCATAGGATTGTAAAATAGGAGAAATAGAAATTCAGATCCAGAAGACCTAGAAGATGAAGATAGAGGAGGATAAAAAAGAGGAAAAGAGAGGAACAAGACAAAAACAGAGAAGAGGAAGCTTTTTCAATGAGGTAAGATAGAACAGAAAAGATAACCGAAAGATAAAGAAAGAAAGGAAAGAAGAAAGTTTAAACAGCAGACAAGAAGTAGAAGGAGGAAAAGGAAGACAGAAGGGAAGTGGGAAAACGAAGGAATAAATGGAGAGAATGATATAAAGTAATGGTAGGAAAGAAGATAAAATATGAAAAGACAAAGTGGGTTGGCGAAATAGGAAAGATGCAAGGAAAAGAAAAAAGGAAATCTGAAGGAAAAGGAGATGGAGAGAAAGGAAGAAGGAAGACACTGGTTGGTAAAATAGGAAAGGCATGAAGAAGAGAAATATAGGAGGACTTACAGGAGAAGAGGAAAGGAAAAGTTAAGAGAAGAGAGATATAGAAGAAAGGAAGAACAGAGGAAGAATTAAATAGGAGAAACAAAAGGAGAAAGGAAAAGTAAAGGAGGAATAGGAGACGAAGATGCAAAGGAGAGAGAAAAATTCTGGTACAAGGAAATTAACTAGAAATCAAGGAGAGGAAATAGAATAAGAAAAGAAAATAAAGGAAAGAGAAGGAACGCTGCATGGAAGACTGTGAGGAAAGAAAGGAGAAGCAGGAAGAAGTTTAGAGTACATAAGAACAGAGAAACAAGGAGAGGATAAAGGCAACAGAAGGCACAGGAGGAAGCGAGGATAGAGAAGACAGAGAAGATGGAAAAGCAGAGGTTATATAATAATAGGTATAAATAGAGAAGAACAGAATAGAGAGGAACAGAATATCTAAGAACAGAGCGATTGACTTAGGTAATGTAATTAGCTGTGGTAGGATAGCATAGAGAAAGTTGTATTAATTATTAAAGTCATTTCGTTTTTGAAAGGTATGTACATAGTAGTGCCACGAAGGATGGATGGATGAATGGGTTAGACTGACTGTAAATCAAGTCTCCTTCTTTGGCTTGTATGCTAGAAGTGTAATAAATTTCTATTCTATTCATTTCAAATTGAAACGAAAATGTTCTTGTGTTATGCGATACCTAGTTGATAATTTTTGAAATTAGTGCATAAGAATAAATTGTTACTAAATTAACTGTATTTTAAATATTTTATTTAATTTTATGCAGATTCTATAATTTTAACTCGATTTTATAATTTTTACATTGCAGTTAAATATGTTTTATTTAAATATTTTAATAAATGTCATTAATTTATATATTCTTCAAGCTGTATTAAAAATTAAAATTGAAATGTCATTTCAAATGTTTTCAAAAATATATCAATACTCATTGTTTAATACATGGAAGAATTTTTATGTATCTTCTATCATACTGTTTTATGTTAATTCATGAATTCCCATTGATTAAATAAACACAAATGAAATACTTGTTCAAATAACATAAATTTCATTTCCTACTTCTTACCTGATAATGATTTAGGTATTCATAGCAAACATCATTTAATCATTATATTTTCATTGTTTATATTTATTTTTACAATCTTTTGAATAAGTGCAAAAATTGAATTTTAGAAAAATACAGCGTCGAAAGAAATATATTCGAGTAAAAACTTTCAAACCTAGAATTTAAAAAATCGCTTTTTTTTACTGAATTTCAAAATTTCTAGTTTTTATTATTTTCATCTCTACACATAAGTGTCAAATAGAACACGTCTAATGCTGAATAGAGGAAATGCAAGTAAAACGAATAAATTTACGTATACGATGCAATCGCTTTGCGATAGCGACTTTAAACTCCAATCAATCAATATTTAATTAAATTGGAAACTAGAATATTTGTTTTAAGAAATTCTGGTACGACCCATTATAATAATATTATATCAAATACGATAATATAATATCAGTACAAGCGAAGGCAACGAAAACATCTAACTGTTTTGCTCTATAGCACAAAACGAACTACCTACATTTTAAAGGTTATAACCGTTGGGTTACCTGGGATACTAACCATATTTCAATCAAACCTACAGGAACCTTCGTATTTACTAATACAAGTATAAAATTTTCGCACAATACAAAAGAGGATACAAAAGAGAGCGCCTTGCAGCTGTCGCATCTACCTGTTTTGAGCCCGCGAGCAGTCCAGTCCTTTGGGCGCGCGAGCCCGCGAGAGGCCAGTCCTTTGGGCGCGCAACACAAACGCCTAACTTTGTCAATTTTATTCAGATTGACTTGAAATTTTCAGAAAATATTTTTAAGATGTTATACTTTAAGAAAATGTTAAAACCCAAAAATCGAATTTTTTGAAATTTCTAGGTATGCTTTCTCCCAAAAAAGAGCAAAAAGAATTCTAATTATATAACTTGTCTCCCATCTAATCTTTTTTACACTATATTAAGCAAAAATAAATTATTTTATGTTAACAAATATGAATATTATTTGATAATTTAATCATTCAAATTGATCAGTTTTATCAAAGTTAGTCCAGAAATGCGTTTAAATTTAAATCGTCTTTCACTATTATCTTGAAGTTGAATTTAAATTTACCTTAATTATTCCTGGAAGCTATTTTGGTCTTGCTAAATGAATGCGAAAGGAAATAGTATCCGCTGTGAAAGATATTTATTAGATTCGGAAAAATAAACGGAGACTGACTGGCTTTGAACTCGGGATCTCTCGCCTACTACCAAGACACTTAGTCTGCACAATCGCGACAGCTCCTCTCTGTTAGCTGTTTATATTCCGAATCTCTTTCATGACCGCTTACGTTTAATTCTTACAGCTCGGCCATTCTGACATTACATTCGTTCCGAATGTACCGAGTCTTCATCTATCGAAAATTTATCCGAAACTTGGAGCTTCTGCTCCAAGTGGCCGAGCTGTAAGAATTAAACGTAAGCGTTTAATTCATGAAAGGTCGTTCACCTTTGAACGATAGACACGAAATTGGAGTACTTTAATTCCCCGAATTTGTTCATTTCAAACAATACACAAACGACACACAAATCGACTGAAATCTCCCTGTCAGGTAACATAGGCTCCTCTCTGAGGTAACACATGGGCTATATCTCACTTCTGAGCTGAAAGATATTTATTAGATTCGGAAAAATAAACCGATTGGATTTGAACTCGAGATCCCTATTACCAAGTCCGCGACCGCGACGATTTCTCTCTGTTAGCTGTTTATATTCCGAATCTCTTTCATGACCACTTACGATCGTCTAATTCTTACAGCTGCATGAATTTTGTATTAACTAAATTTCTCTTATCAAAGGTTGCAGCGTTCTCTTATTATGATTAGATTAAATTAAGGCGTCAAAAATTTTTTATTATTGCTCTAGTAAATGCTCTATTAATGCGCAAAAGAGCGAATCTTCGTCTAATTTTCTGCACGCAGCATCGTCAAGCATTTGTAAGAGGGGACAAATATTCCGTCGGCCTAATTTTAGAATCCGTCGCATTCGCGTCTCCGTTTCGCGACGAGAGAACAGGTACCACGAATGTTTTTACGTTAAACATACGACCGATCAGTCCCGATAACCATTAGCGGGAATGTCTCTGACGCAAATGGGGTAAGCCAACTGTTTTACGATCCCGACTACCGATATCCGTCTCTCTTCGTTCAGATTTGTTCCCCGTTCAAAGATACTCGTCGCAAATCCGGGACAGTTCTTCGCCTAATGACAAATTTCTCGAACGGAATGTTCGCTTCTGCCTCCAGACGTTGTCGTCGCTTGTGCTATTTCTGTCTGCGATTAAATTTACAACGTTAATTTTAGAGGAACGGTGGAAACATATTCGCGGTTGACTCGTCTGTGAAAAATCGCGACCCTCGTTCGTCGTCGAATTCGCATATTATTTATTATATCGAATATTATATAGCATCAAATACGTAATAAATAAAACTAAGCATATATATATATATATATATATATATATATATATATATATATATAGTATAAATGTGAAAATATCTTCTTTTATGATTTTTTTTATCTCGAATTTTTCAGTGATTAATAATATTGTATTGAGTATTATACCTTTTTTGGGAAAAATATTCTTGCACGAATACTTGCACCCATAACTTGCACTCATAATACATTAATTTATATGAACATTTCTCTCTTATTTAGTTTTCTTTGTAGTTTCCATTCCTAAAATTATTCTGAATATAACATTGGCTTTTACACAGATAATTTTTTTTTAGTTCAAATGTGGCCTAAATAGATTTTTCTCGTTTTTTGATACACTATCTATTTCAATAGTGTCGGCTGTTTAGAAAGTTTATTAAAAGTTTGTACATCTGTTGCAGAAAAATATCTTGGTTCTCGTTTTTCAACAATTTCACATTGAATAGAGCATGAGAAACTTCGTTTTATGACCGTTCGTTCATTGTATTACAGAAATATCTCGCTCGACGAATTTCGCCGTGCCGTGCATGACGCCGTCTCGCAGGATGAATCACTCACAAGTCGATTCGCGAGATTCTCTGCATCAGGTGATAGGCGAGGAATGGTCGAGATGCTTATGGAAATGCCCTACGTGACGGGTTTGAAACCGGACAACTCGTACCAGGGTAAGGACGACGCGCGAGCCGCGCGGCTGTACGAGAAGTCGCTCACGGCGACGACGGAGCCCGGAGACGAGCGCACGGAGGAGATTAGAACCTGTAATATTCTCACGCAAGCACTGTTTGCAGCCAGTGCGAACGGTAGAGTGTTTCTAGATGCGATCTGCGAGCGTGCTAGGCGCTCTTACGGTCTGCGCGCCTACGCGAACTGCCTGCGAGACTGCGAATGCATGTTGGCGCTTCCTGCGAGTTTCTATGACGACTCCGCGGAGAACGTTAAGCACTTCGTGCAGCGTAGGAAGGAGTGCTTTCAACTAGAGCGAGAGTGCTCCCGTAAGTTGGAAGCCGCGTCCTCCAGAAAACGCGGCGGCCGTCGAAAGATATCCTTCGCCTCCTTCTCCTCCTCTCGTTCTTCTTCCAGCGGCGCATTGCCCACCGTCGATGGCAAGGCGCACGGCTATCTCACGAGCTGTCCGGATAGCGTCGAGCTGCGGCTCGACCAGACCAGGGGCCGGCATCTCGTGGCTACAAGAGACATCAGACCGGGAGCTGTACTCATTGTCGACCGGCCGTTTTCCTTTAGCACAGATGCACCAGCTCTCGGCAGGAATTGTTTGCATTGCCATGCCACACTTAAATTAGAAGACAGCGTTAGAATTCCGTGCCGTGATTGCCAAACAGTTAGTAGAGCGCATGATTTACTTTCGCGCATGTGTACGTGCCATGTACATAGCACTAGATCTGATTATGCATACCTCTGCCTATTAGTTTCCGTATTATTTTATTTATCTTTTTCTTTTCGTAACCCTTCCTGCAATCCGCGCGGCTGGTTCTTTTGATATAAATATTACCTCGTTTTCTCTCTCTAGGTATCCTTTTGCACGGAAACATGTCGCAAGGAAGCATGGGAGACGTATCACCGATACGAATGTCCGGTATTTAATTACTTTTTCAAAAATTCCTCGAAGAATCTCAGCGAAGAATCTCAGCAAACGTCTTACTTCTTGCTGGCTTATCGCACGACTATTGTACAAGCGTTACGAAACAATGCAGAGACAACATGCGCTTTGAATCCCGATTTTCTACGATATCATGCTAATGGCAATGCGAAAGACAAAGATGACGACATTGGCAAGGAATGCGCAGATTTGGGATCGAAGAAGATTTACAATCCTCTCGATTACCGGACGGTCTTCCAACTGGAGACCCACTGCACCGATATGGAACCACAAGTGAATCTTATTCGCACCATTGATGCGATCTTCTTCGCGAAATGTTTAACTTCTGTTTTAAGCAAACTGGACATTGTTTGCACGAGAGAAATATTCGTTTCCTTGGCCGTGGCTATGTTGCATCATTTGCAAGCAATCATTTGCAATGCATACGAGATTGTTGAGAATGTTCGCGACGAGATGACACACGTCTGGGAGCCCAGGAATATCGGTGGCGCGATTTATACAACGGTCAGTCTCGTGAATCATAGCTGTTATCCCAACGTGGTTCGCCATTCATATCCGAACGGTAAGTGACGCAATTGTGAACGAGATGACTGACGAATATTCAAAGGAATGAACAGATTATTATTCTCTCGTTATAGGAACAGTCGTGGTCAGAGCATTGCGGTTCATCGGCAAAGGATGCGAGATACTCGATTGCTACGGACCTCACTTTTTCAGGGAGAGCAGATTGATCAGACGCGAATTCTTGTGGAAAAAATATCGATTTCTTTGCGCATGTGAGGCTTGCAAGCAAAACTGGAAGTTTCCGCTATCCGAAACAACGAATTATAAATGCACGACGTGTTCGGAACCGATGAACCTCTCGATAATAAATGCAACAACCAATCAGCAGTGTGCCAAATGTGAGAAGACCATTGATTTAAAGAGAATCGAAAAACAATTTCGTAAATCGGTTCAAAAAAGATTGGACGCTGTCGCGAAAATGTATCAGGGGGATTATAGAGGCGCGATGCCTTTGCTATTTGAACATGTGAACTTTGTTAATAAATATTTAGCCGAACCAAATATCGAAGGTATCAAAACAGAACAGTGTATCGTCCAGTGTTACAACTCTCTTGGTTCTATTTCCGTGTAATACTCTCTTAATCAATTCATAACAATTATTTATAGTAATGAAACGATTAATTCAATGTTTCTTCTACAATTTTGTGAAAAACACAATACAATTTGCTAAAAATATATATGTATATATAGAATACTTTCAGTTTTCTATTTAAAAAAAAAGTATGCAAATAGTAGAACTAAAAAATACACGGAATAATAATTTTCAATTGCATTCTTGTTAACAATCTCCGTAACGCGAGGCAATGCAAAATTAGGCTAAATAATTAAGAAGCATATAATTTTTGTGATAAAATGCATGATACAAAACAGTTATTCAAAAGTTAATCAATTTTCGTACAATGATAAGTCATCAGCATATACATCTATAGAACAATGAGTAAAACATCGAGCTTGAATTACGTCTCGTGAATTGAATAATAATTCACTTGCACCAACGTACGTTTTACATACGATGTTATGCCGATTTCATGCACATACTATAAAATTAAGTGACGAAATGTATTGGAACCATTGCTTCTTTCAATTGCAATACCTTACTTGGGTGAGAAAGACAAGTTATGTACAGTAATTCATCATATACATTAGTAAAGTACATCCTTTAACTCAGTTCATTAAAACACAGAGATGTAATACCTAACTATTTAACTAGAATCCGGTGGTACGAAGATTTAGGCATTTGATTACCACATGTGCGTCTCTCTAATTTCACTAATAATATGACCTGCTTGAGTCAATGCCTGTAAAATTAGAGAAATTAAAGATGTATTTTTATAAAAAGATTTATACTTATTGTATTTATGTAAATTCTTTATACCTTAAGCATATCCGCTGTTTCTTTACGTCTAACAGCGATGTGTTCACTTTCGATTAACAAGGCCTCAGCCTGATCTGATTTGTACAAATGTGTAACAAGTTCGCTTTGTAAATTATCTTTCACATAGTTGACTAGGAAATGCATAACAGCCTTTGGTACACTATCCTGAATGGACTTTCGTACGATATAAAAGTATGATCTTATGAGTCTTTCTGCAAACAATCGAAAAAAAAAAGAAAAGATTAAAATTTAAATTTATCAACATAATGTAAATATGATGCTTAATGTGCTATATTATTCTTACCGATAATATCACAATCCCGTTGTTCACGATCGCTAAGTTTTCGAGACGACTGTATTGGCACTGCAGGGAGTAGATTTACTGGTTTCTGTTGCGGAGATGCCTTTTGTAACTCGATTGCTGGATTTATATCTGGGTTCGGATGTGGAGAATTGCTACTTTCACGTATCCTGATTGGAGAACCATCTGCGGAACTAGTTGATTCCGATCTTCCCTGGAGTAGTAAATTACTTAGCAACCAATGGTTTTGTTGTCCTTGCTGTTCCTTAATCTGATCAGAAACAGAGTTCGTCTCATCATGATTTTTTATCCATCTTGATTTTGGGATCTGTTACAGATGTATTTTACTATTAATCGCAAATGTAGCATAAAAAATAGAAGTAATATGGACAAAATAATAAAATAAATTGATAAACATGAATGTATTATTATCCACGTTTAAATCATTATTTTTAAAATGAAGTAACTTTATCATCGAGTTATGCATAAAAGATGACAAATTTCACGAAATCAAAATTATGTAACGATGATTACTTACTGTATTATTACTAATTATAGTATTGGATGTTGAAGTCAATTGTTTGTTGTGTTTTAAGTGATCTACATCGGCGTCTTTCAGTAAAGATGACACAAACGCTGCATCTTTGTGAAAATCTAGGATGCTTAGTGTTAATATACGCCAATTCTATGGCAACCAAGTTCTCAACCTTTTTTTTAAAAAAAATTAAATTATAATGTGAGTATATAATGTGAGTATGAGGAATGTGAATATATAATGTGAGTATGAGGAATGTGAGTATATAATGTGAGTATGAGGAATGGATACATAATGTTTTAATTTACCATTGAATTGGTAGGTGGGAGTCGTCGACGTAGTAATTGTGTAACAACATCGACGATACGTTCATGCAGTTTAGGAAAACGCAGCATTTCCTGTTGAACCTCGGTGCCACAATGCTGTATTATACTTTGCATTTCTTCATGCACAAGTTCTACGCACCGTAATGAAGGATCCTCTAATTTTCGTATTTGCCGTTTAACTAATAGTTCGAAGGAGACTTCTGGTACGAAGAGAGCTGGTCTCGGACCAGTTGCATTGCGGATAGCAGTCAATATATCCACTTTACTGAGATCAGCTAATGGATTAATCGAGTCGAGCGTTTTACCAAATGTCTCGTGAAATATATAACAAATACGAGCGCCGCCACACAGTTCAGTGGTTTCTATGTTTCTCGCTGTACCCTCTATCGTAGCGCAATAGCTGTTTGCAAACTTCGTGATAATTTGTAGCAAAGTTTGGCTTTTGTCTTCGACGTCTCCGCCATAGGAATTAAGCAGGGTTTGATATTGCGCGACCATCGTATTCACTCTGTTCTATTTTCAAAAAACACAAGTTCTACCAAATTATGCTTACTTTAGTAGATTCTAGCTATATTCTGTAAATTATCATGACTCTATTATTAATATTATTACCTTCAGTTCTGGTAAACAATCCCTGATATGTTGCATAAGTAAACGATTAAGAGTTTTTGCTAAGTAAGGAGTGCCATTTCTATTAGCCAATGTTGGATATTTACGCTGCAAAAATGTGGCTTCATCTTTTAGCGCTTCTTGAATACTTTTATTATTCATTATATCTTGCTGCGAACGATTAACCACACCTATAATACCTAATTTGACTGGGATTACTCTGCCACACAGAATCTCTATAGCGTCAGTCCCTAAAAGAAAAACACTTACTTAATAATTACTAAATTAATTAATAAAAACAATTACTTAACAATTATTACTTAACTATTACTTATTAATATTACTTAACAATTACTTAATAATACTTAATAATTACAGTTACATATAATTTGTTCTGTCCTTTGATAGAAATTAAAACTGCAAAGAATTAACTACAGAAAATTAAATTTACCAGCATCCATGAGATCTAATTTTGTAACAACTGCCAACGTTCGTCTGCCATCAGGATCGACATCTTTGCTTAGTTTCAAACTCTCACTTGTAGCCATATCAGTATTGGCAGTGACAACTGCTAAAATTATAGAGTTTGGACTACATATGTACTTTAATACGAGATCCCGTATCTGAGCCTCAATATCTTCCGGCTGGTCACCTACTGGTACTTTGGTAATACCCGGTAGATCTATAAGTGTCAGATTAACAACAGATGTCGAAAATATTTTAAGATTAATTGGTTCTGGACAAATCCCTTTGTTTGCTCCAGCCATTCTATCAGTTTCAGCTTCGATCTCCATGCGAATATCATCAAAATCTTTGTAGATCCTGTTTTTCGTGTGAAGAAACATTCCCCATTCCTCCAAATCCAGAGTGCCATTTTCAGCATTTCTGTGTTCTCGATCATCTTTCGGTGTATATACAAGTTGTAATATTAATGGACGTCGTGTGACAATACCAGTCCCTCGTGGCAGAAAAGAGCGACCCACCAAACTTTCTATTACAGACGACTTTCCTGAGCTCTGAAAAATTCAATATTTTTCTATCACATCATATCTGACAATATCTATGCCTCACTTTTATCTTATTTCAGTTCTAAATCATTACTATCCAAATTTCTTCTGAGAATAAAGATATTACAATCACAATATTTTTGATTTTGCCTGTTGATCAATTACGAACAAGTAAACACTCTACCTCTTATAATATTTGTATGATCTCAAATTCAAATGTTATAAGTTACAATATCACTTTTCCCACTGTCGTTACATTACTTTAAGGAAAAAAATTTGAATGTTCAACAATAATCGACGCTAGATCCGCTCCTTTCAATTGTATGTATTTTCTTCTTTGCAATTTTTTCTTGTATTAAAAAAAGGATCTCGACATGCGTTTGTTTAACCTTGAAAACAAAGAATGTAACAAAGTCCAAATGAAAGGAGCAGACGTGCCGTTTTATTGTTATCGACTCGGAGTCATGATTCGCTCGCGGAGGCCGCGGGAAGACCTCCGGCTAACCTGCGTTCCCAGGACGACAATCTGCGGCAGTTGCAGCACCGTTGCGCCGACGGTGTTGAATACATCCTGAAGCTTGTTTATCACAGGTATCAGGGCCTCCATGGTGGAGCGGATGTGTGCGACAAGCGTCACGAATCGATCGAGATGATGGTCGGTCAATCGGTCGGTTATGGAAGCCGGGTCTAAGTAATGCTCGTTCCTTTCCTCTCCTCTTCACTCCTATTGTCGAACGTTCGGTCGCGGTTCTCGTCTACGTTACGTGACGCCGTCTCGTGACGGAAGCGGATATTCCGCGCGCCCGGTCTAACGTTAGACGGCAGATGATGCCGAACGATTATAATTTTACTCCAAATAACTACCGCCAGAACGACGCACACCTGATCCCTCGACCCCCTCCGCGCTCCATAGTTGGGGAATCTTTAGAATTAAGGTGTCTTTTCATGTGACGTTCAACACTTATTTAAATCATTTACTTTTATGTATTCAATTTCAATTCCAATTTCTTGAATAAATATGTGTTATTTTATAATCGCGTTATTGTCTTATCTGGTGTTTCTTTAAGTATTAAAACGCAGGTTCTGGTCCCACAATCTGACGTTATTTGTCATGAAAATAACTTGCTAAAAAAGACTAATCTATCCTTCTACCAATATAGATTAACTTTAATTTTGATTTAACTTACTCTTTTTTCTAATTTTAAGACTTAGAGGAAGATAAAAGGTAAATTAAATTGAGTTTATAATTAATCTATATTAATAAGGTGAACGTAATATAAACATGTAAATCTTTATACTTAGTTAAAAACTTAATAAATCTATTTACATTAATAAAACAATAAAAATATCATTTGATGGATTTAATTATTAATTATGTATTATATTATTAATTTGGAATTATATAATTTGGTCAAATCGACGAAAGTAAATTTACTTTAAGAGGCAATTGAATACAATTGGTTCTTATATATATATATAAATACACACATTAGTTTCGGATCTGTCGTCAATCGTATTTAATTGTTATTGAACTGCTCATTCGCATCGTTTGTGTTTCTGCACTTCTCGTTTTTCCTTTTTTTTCCCAATGTCTGAATATATATCTATCTCTCACCTGAGATATAGAAAGTGCTAGGAGTGCACAACGCGAAAAAATTTATTGCTGACTACTCCAAACATGCATGGAATGCATGGAACTCTATGGGTGCTTTCCTTTTAATGACACAAGCGACCCTATATATAGTATAAGTATATAGACCCTACATATAGTATAGTTGTAACTTGCATATGTGATTTTCAATACTCTTTGAGTTGACTCTGATTGTAAATTTTGATAGTAATTAATTCAACCGACAGAATTATTTACAAAATTTGTAATTATATAATTCTTTTTTCTTATATATGTGGCGTTGGTGAGTTGTCCACGATGTGGTGAATTTGATGACGGAAAAAAGATGTTGGCCGCGGTGGGATTCGAACCTAGAGGTCCTCAGGTGTCTACACTTGGTGCGCTACCACTGCGCCATGCGGGCCATGATACTTTTCATGGATGTTTTTGCTAGATATTAGTGTGTGAGCGGGGGACCGCCATATATATGTTTTGTTCATTATAGTTTTTACAAAACTTAAGAATACACATTTCACAGAAAATATAATGGTAAGAGGATTTTTTAAAAATAAATAAATATATATATTTTTTTTAATCAAATAATCTGAATTAACTTTAATCAATCTTTAATCAATCTTTAAAGATTATACTGAGACACTTTTACACTTTATGATGATTGAGGTTATGTCACACTTTGATTTAAATATTTAAATGACTCCCAATAATTAAATCTGCAGAGACAAATTGTGAACAGAGTATGCTATTAATTTCTAATGATAAAAAGATAGTAAATTCCAAACAGAATCTGTAATATCTGACAATGTCGACAAATTATTCAAAAATATAATAAAGCCTGTTAACATGCTATGCCAAGAAATTAGTGGCAGAAACTAAGCAGAAATAGGCATAACATGATAATAGGTTAGCAGCATACATGCAGATTCTGCCATCAATCTATTATCTAGATATATTTTATTCTTCCTATGATAGAACCTAAGTTGAATGTAAATACAGTTGATATCAGTTTACTGACATATTTTGATTGAACTTGTTGGCAATCCATTGACATGCTACTAATATTTTGCTTATTGGAATATATGTATTGATAATGTAATTATACATATATATTTATTATATAATAATACATTCTATGTGAATTATTATATATTATAGGGGAAAAATAAGAAAACGCGTAGAGTTGTGATGCAGCGATTTGCTCAAATGAAGAGGATGATTAGTTTGAGTGATTCACGAATGTAAGTTAACATTCTCATACTATTGCTGCATTTTATGAACTAAATGTAAACAGGATTAAGATGTTAAGATGGATTTATTTTTATAGAAAACCAGAAAAGCGACTGCCATCAAAGAAAACTCCAAAGGAAGATAAGACTAAAATAAAAATCACAGAAGCGTAAATAATCTTATTTACTATTCGATATTTTATATTATTTCCAGTAGAATTATCTTTCCATGTTATATTATCGTTCCAATGTTATGAAATTATTATTCAAAAAATATGTTTTGTTTGTATTTTTAAGCTGTGATACTTTGTTTTTTCAGGCCACAACAATCCTCTGCATTATTCTTCGAATATAATACACAACTTGGACCGCCATATCATATCTTACTTGATACAAATTTCATTAACTTCTCCATTAAAAACAAATTAGATATAATACAAAATATGATGGATTGCCTTTATGCAAAGTGTACACCATATATAACGGATTGTGTAATGGGTGAGCTAGAGAAGCTTGGACAAAAGTACAAATTGGCATTAAGAATCATCAAGGATCCGCGATTTGAAAGGTTAAAATGTATGCATAAGGGAACCTATGCAGATGATTGTCTTGTGAATAGAGTTACGCAAGTGAGTAGAGACTACAGATTTTATTATAGTAAAAATATTGACAAATTTCTTTTTGACTTGTGTTTGACAATGATGATATAAATTTACTCGTTGATTGGCATAGAAAAAAGATTAGATTATGTTTTATTATTTCAGCACAAATGTTACATTGTTGCAACAAATGACAAAGATTTAAAAATGAGAATACGAAAGATACCGGGCGTGCCGATAATGTACGTATCTCAGCATAGATTTACGATAGAACGAATGCCGGACGCTTATGGTGCACCCAAATAGTTTAATTTATCATATTATTATTTCTTTAATAATTATCTTTTTGTACTAAATAACATAAAATATATTTGTAAATAAAAATATTTCAGATATCAAATTATTTAAATAGAAATTTATTATACTAAATATACTAAATAGACATTTATTATGCTTTATTTTTCTTGACAGATATCTATGCGCATTTTTATATCCTGTATTTTTTTTTTATTTTACTCGAAATATAATTTGAATTTTCATTGCTTCTATATGGAATTACGTGTCAGTGTAAAAAACTAAAATATGAAAATTAATATTTTTAAGAAAGTTTTTTAATTCACTTTTTTAATTCACTTTTATCAAATAGGTTTCTTAATTACAAATAAGGGCATTTTATATAAGAAATAATCGACCGCGTATTTATGGCGAAGCCTACTGCAAATTGAACTATTAGGATATTATCTGCCAATTTCTCACTCTCTATTCCCAAGAAGTTCGTTTACTCTATTGCGAAAAGTAATTGTGCTTGGTGTTGGCGACATGTCTATCTATGGAAAACAATCGGATTTCTGCTCAAATAATGATGTTACAATACATCAATCACTTTATAAAATCTCTCATCTCGCGGTTCTTCCGCAAAATATATATTTCTTTAAGGTATCTGACTTTTTTGATAAAAATTATGTGTAAAAGAGAAATATAGATGTGATAAATAAATATATTAATAAATATTATAAATATTATTATATAATAATAAAACATATAAAAAAGACATCCCGAATACATTTTATTCATTATACTGTTAGATAGTTTAACACAAAATTTATGCGATCTTGTCGACATAAAGATGTGGATACGAAAATTCGTAATCGCTCTTATCAATCAGGATCGCATATCGCGATCTTCAGGATTCAAGAAGCTCGATATATGTGAGGATTAACGTAATTGATGATTTCGGTGCACAAAGTGTCATGGCTTTTCTATATCCGGATAAATGTCGAGATTCCTCTGCCTCCTACCTCCTAAGGGTCTTGACCTTTCTAATATCGTGGAACAACAAATAGCGTACGCACGCGCACGTTATCACAGCGGAACGCCGGATATTAATCATGTTCGCGCGTACAAGCGATTCAACGTTCTCTGTTGCAGCCTTCGAGAGACAGTTCTACGAACCAAATTTCAATTTATATCTCGGATGCAACAGACGAATGCTATTATTTTTTTTATTAAAAAAATATAATTTTGTTATTATAAATAACAAATAATTTATTATTTGTTATTTATAATTATTATTAACTACATAATTTTAACTACGTTATTATCTGCAAATCTTTGTCTATAAAAAAACTTATTGGACGTACAAAGTTTTATTTAATAAAATAGTTGAGAGTAATAATGGATTACTAAAAAAGTTGTGTATATAAAAATATAAAGATTATTTTTGCTCTTAAGATAAATAT